CCCCCCCCCCCCCCCCCCCCCCAAATTCTTTAGGGAAAGAGTTCTCTGGCAACCCAATTAAAGTTTCATTTGCCACCCGGAGAGCAGACTTCAACCGAGGAGGAGGGAATGGCCGTGGCGGAAGAGGCCGTGGCGGTAGAGGAGGTGAGTAAGGCTTATCTTTGGGATTGAATAGTAATGGAGCACTATCCATCTTCCTGTCATGCTACATATTTATTATTGTCCTATTTTAGAAGAAGAGTAAGAATTGGTCCTTCAGCAAAGCAGTGAAGGTGAAAGAAGGGCCAAATTCTGTTGTAAAATGTGGAGATAAAATGGATGGAAATACCTTAGGCGGTATTCTTGATCTCAGCAATTTAAAGATCTGAAATTGAGAAACTGCTGTTATAGTGAACAAGACAGTAAATAATGGCAAGAAAACATTCTTTGTTTCCATCTTGAATTTTCTTCAGGACCAATGGGCCGTGGTGGATTTGGTGGTGGCGGCGGCGGCGGCGGCAGCAACAGTGGCTCCAGTGGAAGCAACCGGGGTGGTTTTCCTAGTGGCGGAGGCGGCCAGCAGCGTGCTGGAGACTGGAAGTGTCCCAATCCGTAAGCAAAATCTGTAGCAATTTGTGTGGCAGGGAAGATGGTAGTAAATTTATTTGATTTGTAATGGCTTGCTTTCTTCCCATGATGTCAACTGTAGGACATGTGAGAACATGAATTTTTCATGGCGCAATGAATGCAATCAGTGCAAAGCACCCAAACCAGACGGGCCTGGGGGACCACATATGGGTGAGTATTGGAGAGTTACTCAAATACACTCAATGCAATTCTTACCACAAGAGAAGAATCATTTAACGGGAGTGACATTCTTGTGTGCTTTGGATGGGAGAAGGCCACATATGTATGACGGTCTTCTGCCGAGATCATTTTGTGAAACATAGCTGGTCTTTTCATGTAAAGGACTTAAACATATTAAGAAAACTAGAGTTGTGCTTTGAGATGAGTAATCTATTGTTTTCCTAGGAGGTGGATTTGGTGAAGAACGACGGGGACGGGGAGGCTTTGACAGAGGTGGTTTCCGTGGAGGTCGAGGGGGAGACCGAGGTGGATTCCGCGGTGGAAGAGGTGGAGACAGAGGAAACTTTGGACCAGGGAAAATGGACTCAAGGTAAAATTTCTAGAAGTGAGATGGGTAGGTAATACCATATTTCTGCACCTGAATAGCCTCCCAGAGGCTATTAGAGGGCTGACTATAAAGTTTTTCACTCATAAATTCTTACCAGTTTCACCCATTATAGCTTATCTCTGGAGTACTGCTAACTATAGCTAATAATCACAATCTGTAATTTTAAATTTTTTATTTTTCTTCTCTGCAGAGGGGACCATAGACAAGACCGCCGTGAGAGACCTTATTGAGCCAATATAAGACCCCAGACCATGTGAATTTATAAACTTTTTTATTTTGTATGTCTAACTTCATTGAAAATTGTGTACCCCATGTTGAGTTTGTGTACAGACTTTGTATGCCTGTCTTATTTTTTTGTTGACTGTACTTGGAGTAATTTCAGATTACAAAAAATATATTTTAATTGTGTGCTTGTAATTGCAAGGTGGGGGCGGACATAGGGCTGAATAATAAAGATGTTTTCAGTCAATTCTCAAAATAATTGTATTAGTTTTATGTCATACAGGAATTACTACGCCAATGAAATTGTTTTAAATTAAATTTGTCATTCAGGTCTGAGCTAAGAGATTCCCAGACCTAATTTTGTTAATTTCAGCATACATTTTTCCTGTAATTTTTTAAAATAAATGTTCTGAGTAAAAACCATTGTAGAAATGTTGATGGTTTATTCGTGAAGCTCCTTTGTTTTCAAAATCTGATACGGAAGAATATATAAGGAACAGAATCTTATTAAGAGTCGATGTTGCTGTTATATTTTATATAACAGCATGAAATTCCCATGAAGTACAAGTAGCCCTTCTTTAGCGGCCACAATTGGGACAATTTGGTCATTAAGCAAAGCAGTCACTAAGTAAAACTGCAGTTGCTTATGATACTTCTGTTCTTTAGACCTGCAAAAGATGTAAGTGTGAGTGGTTGCAATGTTAACTTTTTCATCACTGTTGGAACTGCAAATGGTTGCTAAAACAGGTCTGCCTTCATTGAATGCAAAAGCTGGCCTTCAGTGACGTTTTTTGCATGTTGAAGTGCATATATTGAGATTGTAACGTGAAGATGCTTTCTGTGGAAATACAGACAAGTGGGAATGTGGATGTACAAATCTCCCATCTTTACACTGATTGTGTAAAATGGATGTTGCTAAGGAATGAGGTAAACACCTGCAGAAGGATGCATTTTACAGTCTGGAAGCAAAAGATGATAGCAGGCTCTCAAAAGGAAGAGGGTAACAAAGAATCCAGATTTTTTTTTGACATGTTATCAGTGAGAAAACAGGATAAGCATTATTAATAATGCTATTACTAATTATTAATCAGGAGATCCATACAGTTAAAATGAGGATAAAGATTTATTGTAAGCTTTGAACTCCCCAAGAATCTGAGATACTAAGGATCAATGGCAATTGGCGGGAGTTAATAGAAAGGAATTCAAGGTGGGCTGGACTTAGATTTCTTGTGAGTGCAAGGGGGGGCTCTTGACTGACCCCTTCCTCAGGCTCAGCCTAGTCAACTACATTCCCAACATCCAGGTGTATCAATTTTAATCCCCAGAATTCTCTGCAACAGTCAAACTGTCTGGGATATTAACCTCAACAGGATTACAGTACAGCATAAATCAGTGGTTCCCCTGGTCCAACTGTTCTTACTGACGAAAGATTATGTCTTCAGTTGCTGGTATAATTATAGGTGTTGCAATTGGACATTCTAGACCACCTACTTAGCAGTTCTTGCCCTTGTGCTTTTCATTATATCATCCATTTATTAAATTTGTATGCTGTCCATGTTGTCTAGAAGTGATTGGGCAGGCTTACAAACATTAAAATGATTAATATTAAGCTATACAGTATTCAGTATGCAGACATTGGCTTAAGAGAATACTTGCTTGTAATCTGAGAATCTGGTTTCATCCAGATTCTGGCCTACCTTCATTAATCCTCAGTCTTGCATCACTGTTGAATCGATACAACCCAATATTTAAAACTCTTCTAAGCGATCCTTTTTAATCATTCTTGTAGAAGTTCAAGAGCTGACTTCTGTAGGTCCAGATCAGTGTTCTACTATTTCTGTTATTTAGAAAAGAATATCAGAAAAAGTCAAGTCAAAGCATCTTTATTTCCAAGTATTTGGGCATGCATCAGATAAATTAGTGGACCCCTTTCAGGCATATTTTAATATACTAAGGGCTTTAGCCTGTAGCTCCTTTACAAATTATCAGACATCTCTTTTACTCCTTTCTTACTGCATAAATTTGATATGCAATAATAGCTCAGAAGGAGTAGGACTGGCCCATTGCAAATGGGATAAGAAAAACAAAAAATGTCATAAAATTTGGTGTATGGATGGCACATAATTTTTGCCTGAAGCAACATTCTATCCTTGGGTACACACACACACACACGCGCACAGACTGATCTCACCCTGGAGATTTCAATGCATTTCAATGTTGAGAACAGATCCTTTTGTAAGTACTGGTTTCCGTCCTTCAGGCTTAATAAGATACCATATAATTGTCAATTATTCAATTACTGGAGGCCACAATGTTCTGTAATGGTGGATTTCCGGCTGTCGGGGAACTCACACAAGTTAGGATTATGTAACAATATGGAGGATGTCACCAAATTAACCCTGTGCATTCCATCAATTCCCTTTGTGACTAACAGCTGAGTAAGGGGGATCGTGGCAAAGCAGGTGCTCTTTTGGGTTACACAAGAGTGAGGTGGAAGATGAAAAGGCAGTGACAAGCAGAAATGTTGACAGCAGAGGAAAATCAATTAAGTCCAGTAATCCAGATTTAAATTCTTCAGGATGATCACATTAAATCAGTTTGGAGTAGTCCCTTATCTGTTTCGAACGCTCCTTGCTATAGGGAAAAACCATACTTGCCCTGAGCAACTTGAAGGAAATCCAGGCTATCAATATAATAACTCAGGTCTGAAATTTTGATTTATCCATCTTTTATAAAGAGGTTTTCTGAACATTAAGAGTTAATATAGGGAGAGTCAAGTTGGATCTTTCAGCTTTAGCATATAATTGGAAAATTATACTGCTTGGAAAAGGCTGACAGACCGATTACAAGACAGTCAAAGAATAGGGTGGAGAAATAAAAATTGGATGGACGAAACCATGTACATACATTAAAATTGAATTCCTTAATTGATACACATCAGCTCTTTGCAAATTCCTTTTTTTTTTTTTTTGCAAGCCACTGAAATTCCATTTTTTTCTATTTTCTGCTTGATCTTTCATGTCGCTTAAGGCCAAGAGAAACCGTCAGCTGTAATAATTACTACCCCAGATTATTTCCCCCCCAAAGGGATATATCACTTGGACACAAAGCTCCAATCTGCTTCTGGTCTTGTAGAACCGGTTTCTGATGACTACACTTTCTTAGGGGAAAAAATGCTATTCTTGATCAAGATCTGAGATAAATCCATTGATCAAGTCAAAAGTTTTTTGCATGAAAAAACTGGATTGGTAACAGCGGCTAGGATTGTATTTGCTAAAAACTGGAAAAATGAGAAAATACCATCGCAGGAGGAAATCATTAAGAAAATATTGGAATGTGCTGAAATGAGCAGATTGACATTTGAAATTAGAGAACAAGATGATAAACAATTTTATAAAATTTGGTACCTTTTCTATCAATGGTTAGATAATAAAATACAATAATGAAATATGTAGAATCTTAGGAAATAATAAATATATAAACGTATTTTTTTTCTTTTTTACTATATAAAAAATTTTTTAGGATAGATTTGGGAGGATTATATGAATTGTTATAAAATAATACTAAGTAAATTATAGTTATCTCACAAAATATGAATGAATAAAGTTATTGTCAAATGATTTATTAATAATGATACTAGGGTATTTAATTTCTGATTGAGAATATGAGTTATTATGCAATGTAACTGTAATTGATGACTATGAAATGGATGCACAAAAATTTTGTAAACCAACCGGCACACTGCTTGTATACTCATGGAAAAAAGGTTGATGTTTTCATGTTTTGTTTATGTTTGTCTTTAAAAATTAATAAAAAATTTACAAAAAAAAAGAAAAGAAAAAACTGGATTGGCCAGTTGCCCTTCACATATAATTTGCCAAAGGTTGTAAGGTAGTGACCCCTTTATGTCAAGAAGTTGAGAAACAGTCAATAGATATAATACTAGAGTCCTCAAGAAGCAGAAGATAAATTCATTCACACCTGTTCATTTAAAACAAAAAAACTTTTGAAGCTTTCAGTTTGTCAGATGATTCAATCAAATCATATTGTCCAGCCAAGAAGATAAATTATCTTGGCAATAGAAGTTTATGTTCTTTGGCCTTTTCTTCCCAGATGCGCAAGTCTGAAATGTCAGCTCAGCTGAGAAAAATTAGGCAGTTCTTTCATAATTGTAAATATTTTTTTATTTATTTGTCTTTGTCACTCGGACAAAAATATCTATCTGAGCGAGCTCTGGATCAAAGGAGGCCTGGAAACTTCATAGAATGCCGCTTGGCTTTACAGCCTCCAAAAAGAGTACGAATGCACACCTCCTTTGCTTTTTGGGGGATCCAGAAGCCATGTGAGAACAGGGCCCTCGTATGACTTCCAGAGGCTACAGAAGTATAAAAATATAAAAAATACAAAAAAAAAATGGCAGGAAAAATAGGGGAGGAAAAGGGGAAGGGAAGAGGGAAAAGAAGGGAAAAAGAAAAGGCGTTGACTTCTGACTCCCTTTGGTCAATAAAATAAGATAGTAACATCAAACCTCAATTTTTTACTTTTGCATAGTAGCATAAACTAGCTATTTCTATATCAACAAATCTTATCTAATCAGTAAAACCCAAAATCAAAATTTCATTTTTTTTCACCTCAAGCACAAAGTCCAGAAGTGGTTTCCAAGGAGAAACAAAAGTACATGTTTTTTTCTTTTATCAAAGCAGTCAATTTAGCCTTCTCTGCTAACACCGATCAACGTTCGCAGCCATTCTTCCAGTGTATTTTCCCACGTCATTATAGTTGTGCTTTTAAAGTTGTAGCAACATTTCGGCAGAATCTCATCTGCCATCATCAGGCTTCTG